ACGAAGATGATCAGTTATGGCGTCTCGATCCAAAACGCTTCTCAAGTTGGACAAAACTAATTAGAGTTCAGGCATGGGTTCGTCGTTTCATAGATAATTGTAGACGTCCCAACAGAGAGAGAGAAGAATTAAAGGCGGAAGAGATCGAAGATGCTGTGGTTCAAGTGATAGAGGGTGCACAAAGAAAGGCATATCCCGACGAGTATTTGGCACTTCAGCGACAAAGAGAGTTACCCAAAAAGATCAAGCTGCTCGGCTTACAACCATGGCTGGACGAGGAGGGCCAAATGAGATGCGATGGACGCCTTAAGCATGCAGAATTTCTACCTCGGGATGCTCGCTTTCCGATAATCCTACCTCGTAAGAACTGTGTAACGAAGCTAATTGTCAAACATTATCACGAGAAAGAAATCACGCGGGTGGAACGAATCAATTGCTGGCGGCTTATCAACACGCTTCTGGATCATTTCTGGTCGCGAAGAAATTCGGGAATGGGAGAAGGAGTGTAACTAATGCCAAAGAAGAAAAGCTAAAGCTGCAAAACAAATTATATGGCCCCTCTCCCACAGATCAGACTTCGATTTTNGAGAGTTACCCAAAAAGACCAAGCTGCTCGGCTTACAACCATGGCTGGATGAGGAGGGCCAAATGAGATGCGATGGACGCCTTAAGCATGCAGAATTTCTACCTCGGGATGCTCGCTTTCTGATAATCCTACCTCATAAGAACTGTGTAACGAAGCTAATTGTTAAACATCACGAGAAAGACAATCACGCGGGTGGAACGAATCAATTGCTGGCGGCTTATCAACATGCTTCTGGATCATTTCTGGTCGCGAAGAAATTCGGGAATGGGACAAGGAGTGTAACTAATCCCAAAGAAGAAAAGCTAAAGCTGCAAAACAAATTATATGGCCCCTCTCCCACAGATCAGACTTCGATTTTCCTTGAGAGCGTTTGCACAGACTGCCATGGATTATGGTGGACCCTTCATCACTGTGCAAGGAAGAAGGACACGTCGACAGAAACGTTACTTGTGTTTATTTACCTGCTTGGCATCCAGAGCAGTCCATCTGGAAATGGCCTATGTACTTGACAAGGACTCGTTCCTGAATGCTTTCTACAGAATGGTCAATCGCAGGAGGCCTCCAAGAGAGATGTTATCTGACAATGGAGGTAACTTCGTTGGAGGTAGTAAGGAGTGGAGCGATTTGGTTAAAGAGCTTGATGAAGACAAGATTGCTGAATCCACTGCACACCAAGGAATAAAATGGAAGTTTAATCCCCCACATGCACCTCATTTTGGAGGTGCCAATGAGATTATGATCAAGGGCGCAAAG